TCATTTTGCCCTGCTTTAACACTGCAAAGATCTGAGGCATGAGACCTGCAAGGCAGATCCTCTGGGATGGCAGCTCCGACTCCATTTTAAAGTGGCTCTATTTATTTATTTACTTATTTTACAGGCTATTTGGATTCCCTTGGCTTTACCTGCCTCTTATTCCAGCCACTGCTACAGCAACCAGTTCTGCCTGGACTCTGAACAGCCTCATGTGGTTGCTACCACATAGCACCTGGCCTCAAGCCTGTGCCAGGTGTCAGGTCTGGGATTTGATGTTACCCTTCTCACAAGTTCAGAAGTTAGCCTATTACAGTTTCATGGATACAGGTTAATAGGAGATTCCGGAGATTCCTGGGTCAGAAAAAAAAGGAACCTTATCATTCATGGCACAATATGCAGCATGAGTATCATTTTTGTGTCAGTTCTTGCCAAGGAGAAGAGACAAGAGAACTTGTTCTTGAACATCTATGAGAATCTTCTTGGGAGACTATTAGAGGAGGCTGAGATCCTGTGTGAACAAGTGACCCATTGGCACAATTCTGGATAAGTGCTAATGTGACCTCATTTGCACCCACGGGTTGATAAGGCCTGGAGCATTCAGGTTGTACTTCCATGGCGATACATGCCTAAAGATAGTGTAAGGTGAGATGGCAAGACTAGGTTCTAAAATCAGGTAGATGTAGGTTCAAATTTTGCTCCTAGCTGTGTAGTCCTAACCTCTCTGAGTGTTTCCTCAACTAAAACAGACCAAAAAAAAAATCTTCCTCACAGAGTTGTTGAGACAATGAAATGATACAGCATGTGTGGCAGGATAAGTTTTTGAAATAGTAACCATGAGTTTACCCTGTCCTGGCATTATTTGGTCCATCCCATATTTAGTCAGCTGGGCTATTCGACATTTATTCCTTCAGAGAAGGTTCACCTAGGGAAAAGCAGAGGAGAAGAGGAAGAAGCAGCAACAGCTAGTTCTAGGCTTCTGAGTTGGGAAATCTAGCTCCAGAGAGAACTTACAACACAAGAATAATAGAGTTGGTCCTGACCAGTTTGGCTCAGTAGATAGAGCATCAGCCTGCGAACTCTGAGGGTCCCAGGTTTGATTCCAGTCAAGGGCATGTACCTTGGTTGCGGCACATACCCAGTGGGGGGTGTGCAGGAGGCAGCTGATTGATGTTTCTCTCTCATCGATGTTTCTAACTCTCTATCTCTCCCCCTTCCTCTCTGTAAAAAAATCAATAAAATATATTTTTAAAAAAAGAATAATAGAGTTGTAAGACAATCTGATGTTGAGTGAAGGGGATTAGAATATGTCACCTCCAAATAGACCACTTGGTATAAAGTCTTTTTTTTTTTTTAAAGATTATTTTAAATGGAATACATTTGAGATTTAACAGATGCAGAAAAATAGCCTTCTCGAAGCTTCCCTTATATTACTAAAAAACAACAACATCTAAGAAATAAATTCCTCTTCAAGGTCTATCTACTCCCAGGAGGGAGAATACAAATAAAGCCTACCTCAAATTCCTCCGCCAGGGAATTTTATGGATCAGAAGGAAACAGAGAAACCACTCATACCTGTGCAAACATTATTACAACTTTCTTGTCTATTTATTCTCCTGAAAACACCCAAAACTTTTATATTTTCAAAATGTCATTTATCTTCCTGTAAATGCCTTTCCGTCCCCTCCCCTTCACCTATTAAGATGGTGTATATGCCTCAAATTCTAACCCTTCTTCAGAGTTACTTCTCCTTGAATTCTCCTGCATGTGTATGCATGGCACATATAAACTCTGTTTTTTTCTCCTATTAATCTGTATTTCAACAGTTTAATTTTCATGGCCACAACAACTGAACTAGGAGGGAAGAGAAAAAAGTATTTTTCCTTCCCTACATGAGAAGGACAGGCTTCCCTGACCTCAAACAAAATGAAGAATCTATAGGCTGGTAGAGGAGGAGGGGAAGCATTACAAATTCAGGTATAATACATATATGTCCCTAGAGAGGGAGACCCTGTGCCCTGAAAGATCTTCTAAGACAACACGGAAACAGAGCAGATGATCTTCAACAACCTTAGAGCTTCCCTTGCCCCACTGTGGGCTGGGGGCAGTAGAACATTTTCTGTATGCTCAATGGTGCACAGACATGTAGCCCAGAGGGCTTTTGGACCCAAAGAAATCCTGCAGATGGTGGGGGGGGCCACTAAGCACCAGATAGACTGTGCTGGTGTGAATAGATAACCACCAAGGATCACATGCATTCCCTAGGGAGCCTAATGCAAGACCCCCTAGAACAGCCGTGGGCAAACTACGGCCCGAGGGCCGGAAAACTAAAATAAAAAAAAGACCGTACCCTTTTATGTAATGATGTTTACTTTGAATTTATATTAGTTCACACAAACACTCCATCCATGCTTTTGTTCCGGCCCTCCGGTCCAGTTTAAGAACCCATTGTGGCCCTCGAGTCAAAAAGTTTGCCCACTCCTGCCCTAGAACTTAGGCACAACTCAGGTAAAGCATGAGGAAGCCAATTTAACTGAAACTAAATTTTGCCACCCCAGATATCAGGGGCTCACAGTAGAAATTCAATTGAATTAAGGAAGAGTAAAGCTACTGGACAAGTTCTTCTGGTTCAAGATTAGTATCACCTGTTTGTAGAGCTCATCCAGGATGTCTTAGAATTCAGAGGTAGCCCATATTGCTTGAGGGTATAGTCTAACCCTCGACTAGGATTAGAGCCAAGTCATCCTGACACAAAGGCATGATCTGGCTGGAAATGTGCTGTGTGTTGCTGACATGACCCCTCAAAAGCCTGCTGATTTCCGAAATGCCAGTAGATAGTGATGAGACCAAGTATGAAGAGTCCTACAGAAAGATTAAATTCCCTAGACCCACCGGTGGTCGGCAAACTGCGGCTCGAGAGCCACATGCGGCTCTTTGGCCCCTTGAGTGTGGCTTTTCCTAAGCCTTAGGAGTACCCTAATTAAGTTAGTAACAATGTACCTACCTATATAGTTTAAGTTGAAAAAAATTTGGCTCTAAAAAAGAAATTTCAATTGTTGTACTGTTGATATTTGGCTCTGTTGACTAATGAGTTTGCCGACCACTGCCCGAGACAGATACAGGACGACTGATAAAAGAGGGTGAAATGCACTGGCCAGAGTGCCTCAGTTGTTTGAGCATCGTCCTGTGCACTGAAAGGTCGCAGGTTCAATTCCCAGTCAGGGCACATGCCCAGGTTGTGGGTTTGATCCCCGGTCGTTTGGGATGTGTGCAGGAGGCAACCAATTGATGTTTCTTTCCAACATCGATGTTTCTATCTCTCTCTTCCTCTCCCTTCCTCTCTCTCTCTAAAAAAAAAAAAATGGGGCGGGGGGGTGAAGCACCCTTGTTAGAGTTTGTATTCATGATTAAATTTTCTAAATCAGAGATGAATAAAGTCATTGTTATAGATGAATTGTATGCCCCCCCCAAGATATGTTGAAACACTATCCCCATTACCTCAGAATGTGACCTCATTTGGAAATAGGATCATTGCAGATATAATCATTAACATGAGTTCATATTGGATTATGATGGGCCCCTAATCCAATATGACTGATGTCCTTATAAGAAAATGTCCATGTGAGAATACAGACACACAAGAAGAATGCAATATAATGACAGAGGCAAAGAGACTCGAGTTATATAGCTGTAGGCGAAGGAATGCCTACAAAGATTGCTGATAACACCAGAAGCTAAGAGTAAGGCATGGAATAGATTCTTCCCATCATCCTGATGACTACTTGATTTTGGACTTCTAGTCTCCAGAACTGTGAGAGAATACAGTTCTGTTGTTTTAAGCCACCCAGTTTGTGGTAATTTCTTGTGGCAGCCGGAGGAAACTAGTAAGTCATTATAATGCCCTTGTCCTAGGGTGGATTTTTAAAAAACGGAGCCTCTTTTTGGGAAAGGCAGAATAATTTCAATGGCACTAGCCTCAGCTGCCAAAGTAGAGAAGCCTCAAAACCCTTCCAAAGCTGGCACACCTCTTAATCTGTTGTAAAAATGGGGGCCTAGGTATGTGGGGAGAAACCAAGTTTTGGAGGATGAGTTACTCTCCACAGCACTGTCCAGCTCCCAGTGGCCAGGGGAGAAATTATTCAATTATTTAGGACCTTAATATTGCTGCTAAGACTTTAAGGAAGTGCAGGCATTTTACTACTACTACTACTACTTCGTGGTAAAAATGGACAACTACATTCACAAAGAGAACCTACCACTAATAATGCAGAAGCTAAGTCAGGTCTTAGGGAAAACACTGTCTCAGAGCCAGAAAACAACCAGAGTGTCCTCACAATACCTAATTGTGTTGGTATACATTCTCCCTCTTAGGTAGCTACCCAAGGCCCCAGAACGCCTATATTATCTGAGAAAAAAAAAAGATGGCAGATGACACGGCTGAATCCTGCTGCCTTTAAACCAAATCAGTGCCTCTACCCTTCCTTCTAGCTAAGTGGTTCTCAACCTGTGGGTCGCGACCCCTTTGGCGGTCGAACGACCCTTTCACAGGGGTCGCCTAAGACCATCCTGCATATCAAATATTTACATTATGATTCATAACAGTAGCAACATTACAGTTATGAAATAGCAACGAAAATAATTTTATGGTTGGAACTGTATTTAAAGGGCCAGAAGGTTGAGAACCACTGTTCTAGCTGTATGAGACCAGTCTGAGGAAGGCCACATCTCTGGGAAGTAGAGGAAATGGAACCAATATTCCAGTAGGAAGACTCTTCAGGGATTACCAAAGAGGTATCACCCACGTGGATGCAGGCGAGCATATTGCCCTGGAGCTATGCTTACCAAGAACCCAAGGAGCCCAGAGGGAGTGTGGCATTAGTTAACTATTACTGCATCACAAATTACTCCAAAAATTAATGACAAACATTTATCATCTCACATAGTTTTTGTGGGTCAGGAATTCTGGAGTGGTTTAGATGGGTGGTTCTGGGTAGAGCTCTTACCAGGTTATAGACAAGATGTCATCTGAAGGCTTGACTGGGACTGGCAAGTCAGTGCTGGCTGTTGGCAGGAGGCCTCCATTCCTTGCCATGTGGGTCTCTCTATAGAGCTGCTTAAGGGTCCTCATGACATAGCAGCTGGTTTTCTCCAGAGCAAGTGATCCAAGGAGGAGCAAGGTAGCATCTGGGATGCCTTTTATGACCTCATTTTGGAAGTCTCATGCTGTCACTTCTGTCACAGTCTTTTCATTAGAAACAAGCCATACAGTCTGGTCTCTATCGGAGAGGAGAAGAATTAGGTGTTAGTTTTGGAAGGGAAACATGGCAAAGAATTTGTAGATTTTTAAAAATCATCACATAATATCATGAGCACAATCCTGAGCTGCTTTGTAAGAGAGTTACTGTCCTGTAAAATCTAATTTAAGATAAATACCCAGGTCCCATAATCATGAAGGTCAGGGACTTTTGGATGAGAAGTAATTTTCTTTGCAATTATGCCCTAAAACATAAACATGACCAATGAGCAAAAATGCAGAAATTTGCTGGGGGTTTCTGGGAAAGCTTTTTTCCCCCTTTCCTTTTCTTCTTGTCTCAAACATAGTTGTGATGGCTGGAGCTGCGAAAGCTATCTTGAAAGTATGAGTAAAAGGCCAAGTCCTGACTTCATTGAACCAGTACCAGCCTTCCTACCCTAGACATCTTGTTATGTATGAGAAACAACTATTACTTAAACCACTGGTATTCAAGTTTTCTGTTACTGACAGCCCAAAGCATTCCTAACGAATGACAATGACATAGTAGGAAAGAGGAAAAACAAAAGGAGCCAATTCTTAGCTTTTGAATTTAAAACCTAGCTGCTGAGCTGGGCCACTGTGGCTCAGTGGTTCAGCATCAACCCATGAACCAGGAGGTCATGGTTCGATTCCTGGTCAGGGCAAATGCTCGGGTTGTGGGCGCGATCCTCAGTGTGGGGTGTGCAGGAGGCAGCCGATCAATGATTCTCTCTCACCATTGATGTACCTATCTCTCTCCTTCTCCCTTCCTCTCTCTGAAATCAATAAAAACATATTTAGAAAAAAAAGAAAGAAAAAACCCCTAAGCCTCAGGGTGGTAAAAAAAAAAATAACCTCAGGGTATGGACAATAGATTTAGAAGGCTAATTGGTGACTAGTATGCAGGCTCCCCCAGACTACATAAAAATTCCCTGGTCTGGAAATGATAATAGTTAAATTTAGTTGTAGAAAAATAAAATTACATTTCTTATTATATGTGTTTGTGCACTAAGATTTATACTTACTATATGGTAGCTCTCATTTGACTGAAAATGTTATTCCTTTCTTACCTGTACTGTCTTACTATCACTCTAAACCAGCAATTTTCAACCAGTGTGCCCCAAGAATTTTTAAAACAAGCAATACCTGCCCTAACCGGTTTGGCTCAGTGGATAGAGCGTCGGCCTGCGGACTCAAGGGTCCCAGGTTCAATTCTGGTCAAGGGCATGTACCTTGGTTGCGGCCACATACCCAGTAGGGGGTGTGCAGGAGGCAGCTGATCGATGTTTCTCTCTCATTTATGTTTCTAACTCTCTATCCCTCTCCCTTCCTCTCTGTGAAAAATGAATAAAATATATTAAAAAACAAACAAACAAACAAACAAAACAAGCAATATCTGACTATTTAGTCAGGGACACTTACCTCTTTTCCTTTAGATTGTCAAATTTAAAAAAATGACAACAGCCCTGGCCAGTTTGGCTCAGTGGATAGAGCATCAGCCTGCGGACTGAAGGGTCCCAGGTTCGGTTCCAGTCAAGGGCATGTACCTTGGTTGCAGGCACATCCCCAGTAGGGGGTGTGCAGGAGGCAGCTGATCGATGTTTCTCTCTCATTTATGTTTCTAACTCTCTATCCCTCTCCCTTCCTCTCTGTAAAAAATCAATAAAATATATTTTAAAAAAATAAAAAAATGACAACAGCCAACACATCAATAGCCATCTGGTATAAATGCCTTGTCTTTAACCCAGCCGTGGGCAAACTACGGCCCGAGGGCCGGATCCGGCCCGTTTGAAATGAATAAAACTAAAAAAAAAAAAGAACGTACCCTTTTATGTAATGATGTTTACTTTGAATTTATATTAGTTCACACAAACACTCCATCCATGCTTTTGTTCCGGCCCTCCGGTCCAGTTTAAGAACCCATTGTGGCCCTCGAGTCAAAAAGTTTGCCCACCCCTGCTTTAACCATAAATATATAGGTTATATAATAGAATTGAATCTTATTGGTCATGTCACATAATAAGGTTGTGTCTGATTGGTTAATTCTTGCTATCAAAAATTATTATATACATGTATAGGCAACTGATTCTTTTTTTTTTCTGCAGCAAATTTATTTATCCATTAAACAAAATTTGATTGATTTCTTTCTGTTTCTTCTTCTTCTCATTACAGCAATACCTTTAACATTTCTTGTAATGATGGCTAGGTTGTGATATACTCCTTTAGCTGTTTTTTTCTCTGAAAAGCTCTTTATTTGACCATTTATTTTGAATGATACTCTTGCTGGATATAGTAATCTTGGTCTCAGATCCTTGCTTTCCATTACCTTGAGTACTTCATGCCATTCCCTTATGGCCTGTAAGTTTCTGATGAGAAATCAGGTGTCAGTGTTATGAGAAAGGGAACTCCTTTGTAGGTAACAGTTTTCTTTTCTCTTGCTGCCTTTAAGATTCTCTCTGTCTTTAATTCTTGGCATTTTAATTATGATGTGCCTGGATCTGTTTGGGTTCTTCTTGTTTGGGGTTCTCTGTGCCTCCTGAACTTGTGTAACTTTTTCCTTTGCCAGGTTAGAGAAGTTTTCTGCCATGATTTCTTCAAACACCTCTTTGCCTTTCTCCCTTTCTGCCTCTTCTGGCACACCTGCTATTCTAATATTGTTATATTTCACATTGTCCCACACCTCCCTTAAGCTGTTCTCCTGTTTTTTAGTTGTGTTTTCTCTCTGGTTTTCTGATTGAGTAATATTTTCAACTCTGTCTTCTAATTCACTTATTTGATCCTCAGCTTCCCCTAATCTGCTGTGTAATCCTTTAAATGTGTTCTTTATTTGTGCTATGTCATTCTTTATCTCATAGTTACTATATCCTTTTTTCATGCTCTTGAGCATCTTTACTATCATTACTCTGAACTCTGTTTCAGATAAATTTATCTCTGCTTCATTTATTCTTCTGGAGAATTCTCTAGTTCTTTTATTTGGGGGTTGTTTCTTTGTCTCCTCATTTTGGCTTTCTGTTTGGGTTTGTAACTATATATTAGGTAGATCCACTACACCTCTCAATCTTTAGGCAGGACAGTGTTAAAGGCTGTTTCTGATTAATTAGATCAGGCAAAGACTCATAGCTTCCAGAAACCCCCTCTGCCTACAGACTAATAGGATTCTGACTTTAATTGCCCGCGGGCAATCATCATGTGGTGAGAGTTTTTTTCAACAGGGTGGGGCAGTTGCTACTGCCTGGAGGCTAATTGTTATTTTTAGTCTCTTAAGTGACCTTAGAGCAAGGTGTTTTCCAATAGGGTGGGTCAACTGTCTTCCCCACAGGCAAGGCAGATGTCTATGTGGGAAAGATGTCCTCTGCTGTGTGAGGGAATGACTCAGCCAAGGAAACTTAGAGTGTCTTCCTTCTGAGCTCTATCCCCAAAGTCCCCAGTCCTGGCTTCTGCTCACACAGCTCCAGTCCACTCTGCCCTCCCTCTGCCAGAGCACAAGGTGAGTGGCTCCACAGGGAATTTTGTGCATTGGCCCTTTAAGAGAGTGCCTGAATTTCCATCCGTCTCTCCCTGGCAGATAGCACCCCACTACTTTTCACAGCCAGATGTTATGTGGGTACCCTCCTCAGTTTTGGTGCTCTCTGCTGGGGGGCCCAGCTTGGGAATTAGATCCCATTGTTCTCAATGGCAACCCCCCACAGCTGAGATATCGCTCTGGACTTTAGTTGCTGTCTGTGAGTAGCTGGCCAGCCCTTTGATGCCTCTGCCCTTCCTACAAGTCTCTATGCGGTCTTCACTTTCAGTCCTTGGGTGTCAGGGTTCTCTCCTTTGAGATTTCTGTTGATTATTCAGGAAGTTTTTCTGTAATCCTATCTAATAAAAGAGAAACATGGTAATTAGCTGTAGATCCA